GAAGTAGAGACTGGGTCATAGGAATGTGATTGAAATGCTGATTACTGCATTCTAAGTAAGGTGGGTGGCAAGCACTTTAAGATGATTTGAATCTAAGATCAAGAGAAGTTGGAGGAGGAAGATGTGAACATTTCAAATCCTGTGTCAGGAAGTGAGACAAGGTGTGGAGTCGGCACCCGGTGCGCTGGGTTGTAGTTGTACGTAGCATTTGCCTCGTCCTCCTGTATGTTTTAGTAGAGCCTCATGACGATGAGTGAAGAGTAAGAATAAGCAGAAGGCAAACTGCAGATGAAACTGGAGGGTGGGAAGAGAGTGGAGCCCCCGCATCACGAGGGCGAGGGCCGTGCCTGCTGCGCCGTCAGTGGAGCTGCTGGTTCTGAGGTGTCAGTGCAGCACCAGGCCATGAGGCTGAGCCACGCTGCTCAGGGAAATGTTATACTGAAAAGAAGTGTTTTTATCCCCAGCTCTTCTACCCAGGTTTCTTCTTGGATGTCTAGGAACTTTTTTTTTTTTTTACATGTGTTACAGAAGTGCTTGGCATGTAATGGGTACTTAAAATTGTTTGTAAGAATGTTTGATCAAAAGTAAACTTGTTATCCCGCACCCCCATCCTTCCCCAAATCCTTAGGGGGAAATGCAAACCTCAGAGCATTTATTCATTCAAAGCACGTTTATTGACACCCCAAACTAGAAACTAGATATTAGATTTCTAGTGTTAGGGACCATGTCTGAGACCTGTGTCCTACTTGGACGGACATTAAAATTTTTAAATTGAGATGTAATTCACTTATCATAAAATCTTTTTTAAGTGTAGTTTAATATAGTCACAAGGTTGTGCTACTGTTATACTATCTAATTCCAGAACATTTTCATCACCCCCAACCCCTGGCAACCACTAATCTATTACTACCTGTCTCTATGGATTTTCTTATTTGGATGTCTCATAAAAATGGAATCACAGAATGTGTGACCTTTTGTGTCTGGTTTCCTTTACTTAGCATGGTATTTTCAAGGTTTTCCATCTTGTAATTTTTATGATCATTTTAGGTGCCAGGTCCTGTAAGGAGATTAAACAGAGGAATAAAACACAGTCCCTGACCTCTAGTACTAAATATTCTAGTATGGGAGAAAGACAGCATGTTAAAAGAATTATAGTAGAGGTATGTTTTATGTACAGCTAAACTGAGGAGGGACTTCCTGGAGGAGGTGACAGCTGATTGGAATTCTGATGGACAGACAGGTAGCAGTTAGTCTGGTGAAAGGTCAAGTTGGGATTGAAGGTAAGAGAGCAAGTTAGAGGTTGAGAAGAAGGACACATGAGGAAGAACAGCTAACAAACAGTTCAGCATGATGATGCCTTTGTGTGGGGGGAGGGTGAGGCCAGATGGGGAGAGCAGAGGCCAGATGCCTAGATTATGTGGGATGGTATTGTTGACTGAGTGAGGAATATAAAAAGATTAGCGGAAGGTTTGTGGGAGAAGATAAATTGAGTTTGGAATATCCAAGTCGTGTTGTCCAGAAAAAGCAGTTTGACATACAGATGGACATTTAAATACTGGTATTTGATGAAAGATATCAATACATCGTTTTTCTAAATCTGATTTTCATATGTTGGATTTTATTTCTCTCTTGAATTCAACCTCTCCTTTCTTGGTAGGTATCTTGGAGACTGTCTGGGACAAACACAGTGTGACTGCCGCCACCCCACCACCATCCCCGACCTCAGGAGAAAGTGGTATGGTCTGCACCACACATGGTATTCCTCTTTTTAAATGCAGTTGGGGGTCTCGGCTGGGTAGTAATTGCTTATCTATGCGAGATACAGATGCAGATTCTTCCTTAATCTATTTTTGGCCTTTCTGCCCATGTCTTCTGAGTAGCTAGCTTTCTTAGTTCCTTGTAAGAACTTTTCCTTTCTAATACAGTATTTTGAACAACGTATTTTTTTTCCTTACCCATATGGAGGATGGCACCTTTGATCTTCTGTCATCCACTCCAATTCCCTTCAGCTTATGGCTGTCCCTCCTAGTTTTTTTTTGTTTTTGTTTTTTTTTCTTTTTTCTCAAATTTCATGACAGTTGCTCATGTTGAGGTTGGCATGAGCCTGTGGGTGTGATGGGTCTGCTTTGCAGTTATTCAGGGGTCGGGTCACAGGAGGTGGGTGGCAGGAGGAGGGGTCGTGGGAATGTGGAGTGCTTTCTTCCCCACTGGGCTCAGGGAAGTCATGCTGGCCTGGACAGATTGGGGGCCAGTGTGTAGTAATCAGTGTTGACTTTCTATCAGTTTAGATTCAGCTGCCAAAGGATGGACATATTTACAGTGGTTATTAAATAGTTTACTGGTGGCTAGTTATTGTCCACAGTAAAAGTCAGAGTGCAGTTCACCTAAAAATGGCTACTTTCAAGGATGGATGGAAAGAGGAAATTGTGTCTGAGCAGCAACTTTTAGTTTCTAAATGGTTTCTGTTTACACTAAATGATCACAGATGCTTTTCAAGTACAATACATCCTGTGAAATGGCACATACTTCTTCCTCTACTGTAAAGGTTGATATGGCTAATGAGAAACATTTCTACATCTTTCTCCTTTACCTCAAGGAAATGGGCTGTTGAAATCAGACATTTCTAAGCCCAAGCTGTTTTTTGTAGCCTGTCGTACTGTGTGGAAGTTAAAATTCTTGCAGAATTACTATAGAATTGAAAATATTTCCATAAAAAGAGAGGAAATATTTCATGAAGTTTTGAGGACTGCTCATCGTCTAGTAATTTACTCTAATTCCATTTATCATACTTGGATTAAAAACTATGAGAGTCATTTGTCATACTTCTTAGATTAAAAACTATTACAGAGTTCTAGAGTATATTAAAAGCCTATAGGAAATTGAACTTTATTTGTACTTGGTGGCAAACCTTCATTTTCAAAGTAGGTTTTTAAGGTGCGGTAGATTTATTGAATTTTTTTTTTTTTTAATGGAGGAACTAGGGATTGAACCCAGGACTTTGTGCATGCTAAGCACACACTCTACCACTGAGCCATGTCCTCTCCTGCAAAGTAGATATTTGAGGTGACTTAGATTCATATTTTGCAATATTTGAATGATTAAAGAAAAACATTACAAAGATGCAGAGATTTGATTTTACGAGTGTATGCCTTCGAATCTTGTGTAGTTTGGCTAATCTTAAAATTTGTCATCTTATTTAAACAATTGTTTGCAAAGGTTAGTTCTTTTGCATTAGATTTGTTTTAAGGTAGTTGAATACTAGCTTGGCATCCAAACTAAGACAGCAGCAGCAGTTTAGTAAAGTTTTAGTAAAGTATAGTAAAACTTTGTTTTTCTGAAATCGCTTTCTAGTACCAAAGCTGGGAGTTTTAGTTGGCGTCATTCAGGTATACGTTCTGAGCTGACTCAGTTTATATTTTGCTAGACTTATTTTTCTGGAGGCCGGGTTGGGGAATATCAGATAATACAAATCAAAAATAAATGCTTGCTTCTTTCTTATATTGCCTATGTTTAGTTTATGAGGTTAGGTGAAATAAAATAGGAACTCACGTGACATTTCCATATAAACAAACCTAAAAATATGGTACGAACTTCTCACAAGTTGCCTCTTAGCCATTGTTAAAATTTTCGAAGTTTTGAATTTTAGTATTTGAGAAAAAGTAAACTAAATTGAGACTGGGGCAGGTGGAGTAGGAAGTTAAGTAAGTTTTCAAACTGATATACTTCCTCTTTAAAAAAAAGAATTGCGTGTTCATTTGTTACTTTTTCTTCTCTTTATGACTGTTGCAAGTGAAGTCATCAGATGTTGCCCCATTATTTGGGCAGTGCTGATGATTTAATTAACATTTATTTTGATGCTTTTGCTTAACTGCCTTTGTGCCCTGAAGACACCTAGTTAAACAGTAAAACTTCTAGAAAATTATTTAGCTTTCTTGATTGTGAGCTCAGTTTTATGGAGGAAGTTGATTCTGAGAAACCTTAGGGCCTAATGAGTAAAACAAATAATTCCTTAACACACCTCATCAGCAGTCCCTGCCAGGCTCTCATTATCCTGCCCAGCTGCCTGTCACACTTGGCTTTTGGTCTCTTTTCTCGTCCACTTTCTTGTCATGTCATTTTCTACCTGATCACTTTCAAAGAGTGAAACCTGGTTGGAAAATGAAAGTAAAAGTGAACAAAATGAAATTATATAAATACTGTAGTTCTGAGTTAGCTTTGTTCTGCAGTAAAAATTAAGGGTCCGTATATCTTGTCCAGATAGCATTTAGTTTCACATATAGATCTGTACATATACTGGTGATAGAAAGTTTTTCAGGGTGTAGATGTCTTAGCTCGAGTTGATTGAGACAGATTTATACCTTCCTGTTTTCTCCCGAAGTCTTTCCAAGTTGCACATGTTCGTGCACTTGCAGTTCTTTTCACTTAAGGAAAGAAGGGACTTGAGAGGGTCACTCACAACTCCTGTAATCTTGTTTCTTCCTTCCCAGGGGTTCCCTGAAAAGAGTTTCTCCCCATTTTACTGGACTGAGGCTACAGTTAGGTCAGAGGTTCCCAGTTGGGGTGATTTTGCCCTTCAACGGGTATCTGGCAATGTGGAGAATGTTTTTGGTTAACATAACTGAAGGAGAAAGTACTACTGGCGTCTGGTGAATGGAGGCCAGAGATGCTGCTAAATATCCTGCAATGCGCAGAACAGCAAAGAACTATCCAACTCCAAATGTGAATAGTGCTGAGGTTGAGAAACTCTGAGTTAGTAAATAGAGAGCTGAATAGAAAAACATGAAATTTCAATAATTAGAATGAAAAAGCTGAGGGGATCTTTGCTTGAAAGTCCATTACAAACGTTCCAGCCACGTCTGAGTCACTTCCAAGTTAGTAAGTGCACTGGAGTTGCCCACGCACTGCTCTGGGCATGCGTGCGTGTTGCTGCCTGGGCCTGCCCAGGTCTGCCCAGGTCAGGGATGATGAAGTCGCTCACAGGTTTTCTGACCAAGGCGCCCTCTTACACAGGGTGCTTGTTAGAAAGCTCTCTCAGCTTTGCTTTGGACATGCTGCAGCATGAAGCAGGGTCTCTGTTCTGTGGCAGTTCCTTCCACTTTGATTAAAATACAGTTTTGGAAAAACTCTGCTACAGTTTACTAAAATTTCTTGAAGTATTTAAAGTTGAGTAAAATAATTTTTATTAAAACATTAAAAGATTATAACATTAAAAGATTTTTTTTATAATTTTATTATAACATTATAAGATTCTTGTTCTGAGGGAAAAAAAAATCAGAGCTCATCCTCTCCACCTAAATGGTATTTACCTTTGCATAATCCTGTTCAGTCTTTGTTCGTGTGCTTGTCTTTCTACGGTTGTAGTCATGGTGTATACACATTCTTTTACATATGACTTTAGAGCCTACATATTTTTCTATATTTGAGTATTAGCTTTCTGACTGATCATTTTCCCGGCTGCACAGTCTTGTAGTTGACTGCCTTCAGGGAAGGAGCATATCGCTTTGGGGCCAGACCTAGGTTTTAGTTTCTGCTCTGTCTCTTAGGAGCTGAGAAACATGGTGGAAGTGCTTAATCTATTTGTGTTTTAGTTATTCTAACAGTCTGTAAATGCAGATAATAATAATACCTACCTTAGAGTTATGAGATTTAAATGAGACTATGTATGTAAAATGCTTAGTGCAGAAGCAACCTATGTCCATCGACAGAGGAGTGGATAAAAATGTGGTATATATACAATGGGACATTACACAGCAATAAAAAAGAATGAAATAATGCCATTTGCAGTAATATGGATGGACCTAGAGATTATCATACTAAGTGAAGTTAGGCAGAGAAAGAGAAATACCATATGATATCAATTATATGTGGAATCTAAAAAGAAATAACACAAATTAACTTATTTACAAAATAGAAATAGACTCACAGACATGGAAAACAAACTTATGGTTACCAAAGGATAAGTGGAGGGGAGGAATAAATTAGAAGTTT